AGGCGGCGGCGCTGCAGTGGGAGGAAGAGTCCAAGCAGGAGCCGGCCGGCGAGCAGCCACCGACGGCGCGCAGCCGGACGGGCACCGACCGCCTGCACAGCCAGCTGGCCACCGCCGAACGAGAGCTGGATACCGTCAAAAGTGAGCGTCGGGACCGCAGCGTGGGAGTGGTAACAGTAATCTCCGGAGCCAATCTCCGGGTCTCCCCGCCCCGTTGGGAGCGTGCCGTGTCGGCCGGCGCCTGTTGGTAGCGTGCCTTGTCGGCCGGCGCCTGTTGGGAGCGTGCCGTGTCGGCCGGCGCCTCTGGCCTGTTGCCAGCGCTGACCGGGCTCCGGCCTGCCCGCAGACGAGCTCAACGACCGCACGCTGCAGTGTCACCGGCTGCAGGCCGACCTGCACGAGGCCGACCGGCGGCGGCGCGAAGAGATGCAGCGACTGCAGCGCCAGCTGGAGGCGGCGCGCCAGAAACTGCGCGCCGCCGAGCAGAGCCAGACGGCGCGCAGCCGGCCGCCGAGCGACCCGCACAAGGTGAGTACAGGCGGCCGTCCAGTAAGGCAGTAACCACACGAGGAGATTACGGCCGGCCTCACAGCACCACTACCGGCGCGGAGCACCGCGGAAACCACGGGCACAGTGCCGCTGCCGGCCGTCTGTGTGTCGATTTCCGGGTGATCACCCAGCCAGCCATCGGGAGCCGTTGGCCCGTTGATCCACTGACACGTGCTGACCCCGCGACGCTCCGGCGGCCGGCAGATTCAGGAGGAGCTGGCCAAGTGGGACGAGCGGAAGCGGTGGCAGCGCACGACGGAACCGGCTGCGCGCGCGGCTGCGGGAGAAAGGAGGCCGAGTGTGAGCGTCAGCAGGCGCTAGCCGCCCGGCCTGCGCGACACCATCCACCGGCTGGAGCGCGAGAAGACCGGCTACGAGGCCAAGATCACGCACACTCCAGCGGTAAGTGGGTCCGCCCGGCCACTCCTTCAAAGGGAGGCGAGGGGAGAGCAGGAAGGCGTCGCCAGTCGGTGTCGGTGTCGCTGTGTTTGGTGCGGGTGTCAGTCTGTGTCGGTGTCAGCGGTGTCTGGTGCGGTATTAGCGTATCTGGTGGGGCGTCAGTGGTATCTGACGTGGTGTCAGTGGTATCCTCTGTGGTGTTAGTGGTGGCTTGTGTGGTGTCAGCGGTGCCTGGTGTGGTGTCAACGGCGTCTGGTGTCGTCAGCGGTGTCTGGTGCAGTGCCAGCATGTCTGGTGTGGCCGTCAGCGGTGTCTTGTGTGGGGTCAGCGGTGTCTGTTGTGGTGTCAGCGATGTCGGGTTTGGTGTCAGTGGCGTCTGGTGTGTGGTGTCGGCGGTGTTTGGTGTGGTGTCGTAGGTGTGTGGCGTGGCGTCAGCGGTGTCTGGTGTGGCGTCAGTGATGTCTGGTGCGGTGTCAGCGGCGTCTGGTGTCGTTTGTTGGTCTGACAGTCCGGGCCGATCGGCCTGGATCTGGACTGACCGCAGCCGTGCCGGGCCGGGTGGCCTGCTGTCTCGGGTGCGCTCCTGCGTCGGATCGCGTCTGACGGCCCAGCCGTGCCGGACCGCAGGCCTGATGTCAGAGGAGCGGTTCCACGCGCTGGAGCGGGAGAACGTGACGCTGAAGGAGCAGCTGAGTCAGCTGCGCGGCTCGGAGTCGGTGGAGCGCGGCGCTCAGCTGGAGCAGCTGCGTCAGCAGGTTCACACGCTCACCAGCCGGCTGGCCCGCCCAGCGCGCCGCCGCTAAACAGGGCAAGGTAACGGCCGGCAGACAGTCCGCCCTCTTCTGCGGTCATGCTCACGGCGGCGGGCTGCAAGCTGGGTGTCCTCGAGGGCTGTCTCGGCTCGTTTGTGGCTTGTTAGAGCTGTGCGGTGGAGAATGCGGGTGAACGCTGGAGTGATGCCGCAGCTTGCCTACAAGTGGGCATAGGTTTTGAATCCTACGGCGCAGAATACTCCGCCGTATCGAGGCACTCGATCACGTGCTCGGGGCCGACACCAGGCACAGTTCAAGGCGAGGGTGTTCCACGGTCGGGGAGCGATAGCCCAAGATCCAGGTGTACGGTGGTGGAGACCAACGACACGAGACGTGGCCCCCGGGGTTCCGTTGGTACGGTGACGTTAGACCTTTGGACACGACACACTGGAGTTGGTGAAGCCTGGCCTTCACCAGACCGCGCCGCGCCCTTCTGCTGTATTGTCGTAGACGTGGGCGTCTTACTGGCCGCTTGGACGCGTGGCCCCCGCCGTACCAGACGCTACGTACTTCGAGCAATATCGGGTTATCAGAAAGAGAAACGAAATGACTGGATGGCATGCTCGCTTCACAGAAAGAGAAGTGAACAAAAGTGCTACTTTTCAGGATGCATGCTAGGACCCTTTCCGTCAGCTCTGAAATATGCATTGCCTTTGAATAAGCGCGTTACGGTCCGCATGGTGTGAACCGCCACCGTGAAGAGGCCGTGCGGGCGTTAGGTCAGCTAGGTTGACGGCGTCGGTCAGCTGACCCGTCCCGTTGTCGGAAGCAAGGAGCCTTGCGTCCCACTGGCCAGCAACCGATGGCATACCGCTTCTCCTGACCATGGTAGGGTTGTCTATCCGGAGACGGGCCACCGAACGCCTGTCCGGGTTTTGACGCGGTGAAATACAGCCAGCGGAGGGGAGGGGCGCAGTGCTGCCCCCTGGCGTCACGTGACTATTGCTGTCGTGATGTGGGAGGGGGGGGGGGGGGGGGGGGTGGTGATTTAGTACCGGCCGCGCTGCACTCTCGTGGCGCGGCACGAACCGCACGCCACGCCCACGGCGACCCGTATTGGGTGTCCGCGCCTTGTCCGAGGTGCCGTCTCTCTCCTGCTGACGCCCCTGCGCTGACACCCTACGCTGACACCCCTGCGCTGACGCCGGCCGGCGCTGGGTCCGCAGAACGCCGCCTCAAACGTGGCCCGCTTCGAGGCGGAGCTGGCACAGCTGCGCGCCAAGGCACAGCTGCTGGAGGAGCAGAACACACAGCTGACGGCCGAGATCAGCGAACTACGGTACTGGTCGCCTTCCATGGCTCCACTTGTAGATATGGTTGTTCGTTTACTTTGTGTGTATGCGCGTATGTGTCCACGCGTGGAAGTGGCATAATTATATGTGTGTCGTTCGCACTCTGAATTATAAAGCCTTTTGTATGGTCATGCAATATTTTGGGCGTTCTAGGAAGTTTATGAGTTATAGGACCAGAACCCTAAGTCTAAACCAAGGACAGATATCTTAACAAATGCCCCCAGACAACGATGGGACTAATGCTTCCATTGTGAGCCCGTTGAGAGTTAAAGACCCACGTACTGCTGCTGTGTATATGTAGCTCCAACACAGACTTGACGGGTCTATGGTATTTACGTTAGATATTTTACAGGATGGGCTCAGGCTGGGAAGAAAACCTGCAGTCTCAAATGATCAACACTAAAGAATGTGTAAAATGAATCGCGAGGATTTAAAAATGGCTTGTGGCTTGTTCGTAACTATTTGGCTTGTTAGTGCTTTCTTTGAGTGCTTAGCTCGGGATGGTCCAGTAAATACGAATCATTCATGGCAGTTGCACAAAGCAATATAAACTTATAAAACACATGCATCTGTTATATATATATATGTATATATATATATATATATATATATATATATATATATATATATATATATATATATATATATATATATACATATTACATGCATAAGACATTTCGTGTATATGCGTATCGGCGCTGTGAGCGCCGCTCACAACCGTTATAACGAGCCGCCAACCGCTCCCCGTGTATGTCCGCCGCCCGCTCGCCGCCTGCCGCTCGTCCCATCCGCGTGTGTGTGTGGTGTGTGGTGTGTGTGTGCGTGCGTGCGTGCGTGCGTGCGTGCGTGCGTGCGTGCGTGCGTGCGTGCGTGCGTGCGTGCGTGCGTGCGTGCGTGTGTGGGTGTGTGTGTGGTGTGGGTGTGTGTGTGTGTGGTGTGTGTGTGTGTGTGTGTGTGTGTGTGTGTGTGTGCGTGTGCGTGTGTGCGCGCGTTTGCGTGTGCGTGTGTGTGGATGCCCTGCTTGCGCCGGTGACGGGCCCTGATCACCACTGCAGCCGGGCTGCAGAGAGGACCGAGGCTGGCGGCGGCGAGCCGGCGGCCGGCACCGGCGAGGCCGAGGCCGGGCCGCCGCCAGCCGCCGACCACGGCACCGTCTCCATCCTGCGCCGGCTGGTGGAGCGGCTGCGCGCCGACAACCTACGCCTGCGCCGCGAGCTGCTGCGTCACACCGTCACCAGCACCACCGAGCAGCAGGTGAGCCGGCAGTTGGTGTGTCACACCGTCACCAGCACCAGCGAGCAGCAGGTGAGTCAGTGGCTGGCGACTCACCTGCCAGCCGGGCGCGGCTGGGGGCCGGTGCTATGCTGCTGTAGATCGTCGCTGGCTGGCCCGGCTACGTCCGGTGCTGACGTCCTCCCGCACAGTGACTGTTTTGTGGCGGATTGCGGGCTTTTGTCTGCGCTGACCGATGGACGTTGAGCGCTCGGTATATACCGCATGCCAGGTGCACAGGCTGTTTTGCATGCGTGCACGCGGGTGTGTGCACTGGCCACCCATACGTGCATGTCAGCGCATGGATGCATATTGCGGTGTGGGTTCGAAGCTCGTCCGTACCATTTCTTTGTTTATTTTTTTGCAGAGCAAATGGAACATAACCACTGAAAATTACATAGGTCAACAAACTCGCAAACCCGCACCCCACCACATTTTACCGAACTCAACCTGCGACCAGACGCCCTTCACTTTCCAGCTGTTGAGAACGAATGGCTTTCACGCGCCCCGTCACTCGCCCTTCAAACGCGACAGCGATTGACAGACAAAATGCATGCACTCACTCTGCGTCCAGTGAACCGTGGTGCGCCTCCCGTTGTTGACGGCTCATACCAGGCGAACGGCCCGGACGGTAGGCCGTAACACACAGCCCGGAGCGGCACGGGACCCCAGACCGCTACCGTTGGCGGGCTGCCAGCCATCCAGTGTTGCCCTCTGTCCGACAGGGTCGGCCTCAGGGCGCCGACCCGGCGGGCTGGGACGCGGCAGGGGTGGCCGGCCGGTCGATGAGGCCCGGGTCCCGGAAGGTGGCCGGCGTCGCCACCGACCGCACGCTGCTGCCCCTTTGGCGGCTGGTGGGCCGGGGCGGCGAGGGCGCCGCCGGCGCCGGCGGGGGCGGGGGCGGAGGCGCCGCTGGCGCCGGTGCCGGCGCGTTCCGCACACCCAGCGCCGACGCCAGCCCCGCCGACATCATGTACGGCCGCGTCGCACTGCCGTCGTTGTGCTCCAGGTCAACCATGACGCAGTAGAACAGCGCGTCGACGCCCATATCGAACAGCGCGAATGTGGTGCCCGCCACAACGTAGGCAAAGGCGGCGCTGAAGAGGGACGGCAACAGCCAGGGCACGGGATCGGCTTCCACGGCGGCCATCAGCAGGTGGCAGAGCAGCACGCTGCCGGCTACGACCAGCAGCCGGCCCAGCAGCAGCACGAACGCCGTTATCGAGTCGGCCACGGCCACGCGCGCCACGTTGCGCATAACCACCTGCAGACCACGCTTGCCGCCGACGCACAGGCCGACGCTCTCCAGAGCCGTGACGATGTAGGCGCGCCGGTTGATGAACTGCAGGCAGTTCTCGAGACACCAGCAGCAGCAGGCGCAGCAGCAAACGGCGGTGCGCGCTGCGCAGCCGCCGTACTTCTCCAGCCGCTTTTTGGCGGCCATCAGCAGGCAGCGCGCCAGCCGACAGATCGTGATTAGCAGCGAGCCGAACGCCGCTGTGCCGCCGTGGTAGGTGAGCGTGTGCACGTAAGCCAGTGCGGGCACCGTCAGGCGCAGCCGCTTGCTGCTGCTGAAGTACCAGGTGCAGAAGGCCATCGCCACGGCGATCTGGTTGATGGCCGTCACGAAGCCGAAGGCCCACACCAGCGCGAAGATGTTGTATGCGTAGATGAACAGCGGCTGGTTGCTGCGGCAGGCGGCGTCCGGACATTTGTCGCCGCACTGCGCCGCGAAGTCCTGCTGATAGCAGATTTCGCCCTCTTGGTAGTCAGCCCCGCAGCCATAACATTCGCCCTGCACGTGCCACTGGTGGCTACTACCGAACAGGAACAGGCAGACGAACACGAACATCAGACAGACAGACAGCTGGAGGATAAAGCTGAACACGGGCACGGTCAAGATGGGGAGCATGTCTCCGATGGCCGTGCTGCACTGCTTCAGGAGCGCCACCGCCAGCTTGATACGCTTTCTCAGCGCGATCAGCAGCACCAGCATGAGGACGGAGAGCACGGCGCAGATGATGAGCAGCACCAGCCAGAAGGTGGGCACCCGCGTGTACTCGGCTGGGTCGGCGCTCATGCCCACATCGCCGAAGGTGAGTTTGCCGCCGGGCTCAGCCGACAGCGCCTGGTAGCGGACGCCGCAGACGGCCGTCAGCGCCAGCAGACCACCGATGATGCCGAGCAGGCTCAGCCAGATGGCGGGCACCACGAACCAACGCAGCAGCAGCACGAACAGCAGCGACAGCACCAGCGGCAGCACCAGGCTCCAGCACGTCAGGCCAGCCATGTGCTTGACGACGAAGCGCATCTGGCGCACGGCCGCCGCCGCCGCCTGCCGGCAGACGCGCGCGGCCGGTCGTCAGCGCTCGACGCCGTCGCTGCGGCGGACGCCGGGGTTCGGCCTGCAGTGTAGCACGCTTGTATCCGAATCGCCCTCTCACGTATGAAACGACAGCAGTTATTCGCACGCGTTTCGCGGGAGGTGGCTGCGAGTTCGGTGCTGGCGTATACCACAGCGTACGGTGAAGTGAGGGGTTCTAGAAAGATTTCATGCGATTACTGAAATTTTGTATATCACTGAGCTCAACAATGCAAAGAAAAAAGGGTGTGTGCATTTAAGCAACTTTTAAGGAGAGAGCCTTCTTGATTTTCTGCAGTATCATGCCATTGGTTGGTGGTACAGACTCGAATTACATAACACTGAATTTGTCACATCGAAATGAACCACTCTGCATGCTGTTTTACTGACCTTGGCATATGAACTTGACATAAAATCAGGATTTTTAAAACAAATTGTTATATTTGCAATAACAAACGTGACTAACGCGTAATAAAAAGCACAAATGCGATGGACGTCATAAGACAAAGCAGAAGTTCACCAACGTATGCAATGAAAAAGCGCAAGTGCAGACATGCGCTTTATTTTGATGGTAAAGAGTGTATTTCAGCGCAGGTGAGGCCAATCGTAAACACATACAAAGCTCGTAGTTCGAAGCGGCAACTAACGCTGGTGATGATTTTGCCGTAGGTCGGCTGGAATCTGATGATCGATAGCAACGGGCTTAAACGTGGGGAGAGCAAACCCAGGCGCTTTGACCCGACTTTAAAGTGGACGTTGTTTGCAATGCCTTTTGGAGTATCGTGGACAGTGTCCTCCCCACCTGCCCTGAAGAGATCAGCCTGTGTGTAGAAGCTCATATCGCATTTCCTCCAAAAGTATTCATAGATTGCATCACGAAGCGGGCAATCTCAGCGTTCAACACATACTGTATTACGCTCGACGTACTGGAAATAGACCGCAAGTCCGCACTTTTCTCATAAATGCATTATCGGCCCAAAAATTCGCAAAAGCAGCGGGTACCGACATCATGTATCGAAAGATCAGCTGACCTCTGCAACAGACGTCATGGGCGCACTATCCATGTGTGCATAACATCAGCCCGCTAGATTCTGCACGCTAATGCTGTCCTGCCTTTGCAGCGCAAACCAGAAGCCGTGCTTGTGCTCTGGCATCGAGGGCAACGGGGTTTCCACGATTTTGTCGATCTTCTATTTGTTCAGACAATGTGGTTTGGTGCGATCTTCTGAGTCTTCTTTTGGGTGAAATCAGGTTCTTGGGAAACTGAAAATCTTCTTTGGGTGGTCTGATGATCGAAAGTTATGAGTACAGTGGCTAAAATTCACGACTTGTTTTGCGCCGGACAGTTGTCAGTCGTTTGGTTATTTGGAAAAGATCCCTTTCGACCAGAAATGATTATTTCAGGGCTATGAGATGAAGAAAAATGGTTTACGGTGGGGCAGGCTTGCGTGCGCCTGGAGGGGGGGGGGGGGGGGGGCAATCACTGAGCTTTAACCCGCTGTGCGCTTGGCACTCGGTCGGGGCCTGGTTCTCCTTCCCATGGGGCCTCTGCTCACTCGTGGGTGACGCATGCAGACGGACAAGCGGACACAAGGGGACGCCCCGGGCAAACGCAGTGTCGCGAGAATACAGGATGAAGCAAGACAGAGGGTGAAAGGGTTGGATGTGTCTGTCAAGATCGTCGCTTTCTTTTTGTATCGATGTGCGAGGAAGCGTCAGTACGTCGCGGCAATGTCTTCTCCATCTGCTGTTGTCTTATGCCACAGGACTGCTAGTAGCTTCCTCGACCTTTTTACTTTTCCTTTCTTCTGAACGGTAGCAAATGTCTCGCTAGGGGGGGGGGGGGGGGGGGGAGGGGAGGAAGACCGTTTTGTGGAGGAAGGATAGGAATCAACGTTATCTTCATTGGGTCGGCGCTGCAAACGTGTTCGTAGTCATCACTTTCGCGGTCCGCCCTGCTGTGGTGTTGAGCTCTAGTCCCGGCCAAATATAATCTGCTGTCCTGGCACTGGTCGCACCCGTCGACTTACAAGAAGCCAGCTCTTTCTGGGGCTCGATGCGCTGATTGCCCGTGGTGCAATTGGCGAGTACAGCTCTCACGCTCCTTGTCGCCAAGTTTAGTAAAGCTAATGTTCATCTGTTTTAACTCCCTTTGATACCACTGGAAACCTATTTGCCCATGCTTCTCAGTGAAGTGTTTATGCATGCCAGTGGTTGTTATAGTGGATGGTAGATATATTCTCTGTCGATCTTGGTCTTTGGCGTTCCACTTCTTCTTCCGTCCTCCCTTTCAGCATTGGCGAGGGCGTCCCGGAGGGCCGGGTTGCTGTGAATCTTCAGGCCCACTGCTGCCAAAGAGAACCGCTTAAGAGTACTAGTGGTGGGCTAAGGCCGGACGATTGCGAAGTCTTCGGCAGGGCCGGGGGCGCTGAATCCAGGTGGTGGCTGAGCAGCAAGCTGGTCTTCTCGAGGACCCCAATCCTCCCATAACAGGGCCTTTCTAATGTTTGTGGCGAAGGGAGTAGAACATCGGGAACACTCTCTTCGGAGTGTTCCAGGAGTTCTACCCCATCCCTTCAACCGGCGTCGAAAGTAGAACACCTCCAAATTTAAAGCGCTAATCATCGGCAGGACCAGCAGCACTGGAGCAGAGCGGCAGCCTGCCGCAGCGGGGCGCCGGTGGGACCACACGGCGCCAGGGAAACGGAAGGCTGTGGATGGACGATGGCGAGCTCTCCGGCAGTGCCAGGCGGCGTCAGCGAAGCGGGAGGCTGTGACTGGACAACAGCGAGCTCTCTGCCAGGGCCAGCAGAGTCGAATGTTTTGTCTGGTGTCACTGGTGGATGGAAGAGGCCGCAAGAACATTATGTGTAAGGAAATATGATAGGACGATTGGCACAGAAGCGAGGAATCAAAGTGAAAAAGACTTTTAAAGGCTGTTTAAAAGACATTTTTATCGTTACCGTCAAGGACCGTTAAAGCTGGACTGGCTTGGTAAGCGGAATATAACGTAGACAAAAGTATGTGACTGAAACGTAGAGTAGCGCAGACAAAATTGGCGTTGTTTCGATGAGACGACTGGGAAGAAATCGACATAACATGGCAACTATCGTAAACACAGCCGAAACGTGCTTGTAAAAATAACGCTTTATAGCTTAACGATGCAATTTCGTCCTTCCCGTGTGAAGTCGCCGATATCCTATCGTGACGAACGGGGCGAAACAACCAATGTCTCTTATGAATCCAGTCTTTCGTTGCGATTCGGAGTCAGACGTCCAGCGAATTGAGGTATTCAGTCCCATTTCAAGGTCGAAGATCGGTCCCTTGCACAGGAACACCAGCCAAAATGATCTGTTTGAATCGTAGAGAAGAGGGAAGGTCACTATGGTCGCCAGTACTTGAAGCATACTATTTATTTAACGGATACCATGGAAGCGGCTGCCACGCAGCGAGAACTGTAGGCGATCGTTCCTCTCCAGATTTGCCCTTGGTATGCCGCATATGCGCGGTGGCCCTAGCCGCAAGCGGCAATACTTCACATTTAAACTGCGTGGCCAGCACGCAGTGGCTTGCACCTCGACTTTCGTACGCCCTTAATACGCGGGCGTGCAATTGACCACGCGTGATTTTGGAATTGGCTTGATTCAGTCCGTTGACGTCCTATCTAAACTTCAATAATCAGGCCACCAAAACAGCCGCCCCAAGTCCAGCAAACCAATAAATTGCGCCAAGCCTTCACGGCGCAAAAGTGGATACGGATAGCAGATAAAAGCGGATGTTTACTTTAGTGGTTTTGGCTGCAGTGGCACGTGCGCGCCATGGGCGTACAAAGTTAGCGTATGACTGAATCGAAATTCTTACCAAATCAAAGCGATCTGCGTCTCGGGGAGCGAGCTACTCGTATGCTGCTTTGGAAGTGAACAATCCGCGACTAAAGCATATATCATCGAAAGACACGCCTCGAAATAAATGCAAGGCTTTCCTGGTTCAGACTTCTCCACCCTACGTGCGCGATGTTGTTCCCACGATTCGGCCAGATGCACCTCCTTTTTGGAGAGTCGGGGGAAAACGCAAGTGGCATTACCGACATGCAGTCTATCGAAATAGTGCAAGTGCAGACACGCGGTTTTTAGTAACTGAATCGACGGAGATAAAGAACTCGGGTTTTTCGCCGTAACTCACAGCACTTGCGCTTCTTTTACGTTGCAGATCGGCTTTGTTCCGCACTAGCGCCTATTTTTTTTTATCACATTTTGGGGTGATGGAGATCGGTATTGCGAACCTGATAGCCTAGAACTCAAAAATGGCAAACATTGTACTGGTGCTTCATTTCCTTTGCACGGCAGAGCTGAGAAGTGCACAGCTGACCTCGCGATTCAATGGAAATGTTTACATGAAATATAATTATTGTTGCCCTGTTCGGGTCGTTGTCTGGCTGAATTTTAAAACTGTAAGGTCAAAGGAGAAGTGTCGGAAGCCACTTTCTGGTGGTTCAAAAGCATACATTCCTGTGTTCTACGTGGAAGTGCAAAGTTGTTGGCGTATACTCGCGAAAATGCTCATCTACTAGCTGTAAAACATGTAAATGCCGATTCATTTCAGTATTAAGTTTGTACGTTTTTGCCGGTTATCTCCTGCTTATGCAACTGCAACCAGAAATTGGCGTATCTGCTTTTGCATACAGCACGGGTAAAACTAGCATCTTTTAACAGACCTTTCGAGACGTTGTGAACTACTAACCCAGCAACAGAGCATGTGCGACGTGACCGATCCCGACAGCCGTCGCTTCTGCCTGACGACGCGCGTCGCGTCTCGCGTACCTGCACGACTCGGCGGGAGATGGCGTCCTTGTTATCCGGCTCTGACGGCGGGGTCACACTGTCGGGCTGGCTGGTGCTGCCTGGTTGGCTGGTGCCGTTCAGCCGACTGGTGCTGTTCGGCCGGCCGTGGGCCGCCTGCAAGCGGTACTGGACCCCGCTGCGGCTGTGACCGCGGGCCTGTCGGTCGGTCAGTTCTTGGCGCAGGGCCTCCGAGAGGTTGTTCAGCTTATGCACCGAGTCGGCGACCGACACGGGCAGGCAGCGGCCGGACACCGGCCGCGAGCGGGTGTACCACGAAGGGCAGTGGTAGCCGTCCGCCAGCCGCTCGTACGGCATGGTCATGTCGGTATCCGGTAGGCAATACTTCAGGTTCTTTTTCAGTTCTTTCTCCAGCGTCAAGTTGTACGCGGAGTTTTTCAGAAGGTCTAGAGGTGCACGGAAGAAGTACGTGTCGGGGCACTTTTCCACGCAGATCTGCGGCGTCGCGCAGCCGAAGATGGCGGAGTTGGCTAACGCGCACTTTGTTAAGTCGAAAAAGAACACATAGGGCTTGTTTTCGTAGCCCTTGTCGACGCCACAGATGTTTCCCTGAGTGTCGGACGGCATGACGAAGCGCCTGATAGAGCCGTGCGACGCGGCGATGCCTGCCGCGATGATCCACGCAGTCAGAGCGGCGGCGAACACCAGCAGGCAGGGCAAATCTGTACAGCTGCGGCTGCGGGCTATCGGAGAAACGTTTGCCATGTTCGCGCTACGAGATTGCACCCTTGCTGTGACAATCAGTGTCGGACACGAAGATGCCGATCATGCCTGCCTTGCAAGACTAGTGCACGAACTGCACGCCCGACTGCTTAAAGCTTATCTGTGATTTGCATCACATATTGCGTACATAAAATTGGTTGTGCACGTCTAGTTCGAAAATATGCATTATTAAACCATTGACGCCTTAACGCTCATCGACGCATGGTCCGCTTACGGAGAAAATGTGTTAATTTTTGTGTTGCACGCGCATTTGTTGGCTTGGTATTCGCATGTCCGTCGTGCGCCCCAGTTCATAATAATGCATCACGAACAGAAACCGCGAGACCGGCGTGTTCAGTGAGCCCCTACATAGTTATGTGCAGGTCCTGGGGTTCATCAAGTTATCAGACATGTGTGATCAATGCGATTACCTCTTTAAATGACATGTTGTCATTGGCCGTGCTGTCTCGTCTCAGACCTATTATGCCGTCGGACAGGTGGACATACTGAAGGCGGAGCTTCACCGCGCTGTGGCTGAGCGGGACAACATGGCGGCCCAGCTGCAACGCATGCGTGCTATGGAACTACGACAGCAATAGCCTAGTGGGCTGTCAGCGTGTGGTCCAACGAGCTGGACGGTATGCATGAAATGAGCTGTGCTCTAGTCCAATGGTCCGTGTCAGTGCTTACCGAACTATCAGTGCTGATCGACGCGCGTTCCGTTGAGATGGTTGATCGCTGCCTAGTAAGGCCGGCTCAGCGTTCCAAGCTGTGCTAACGGACAACAGCAGCGCTTGGGTCTGTCCGCCAGACTCCAGCGCAGCGCTGGGCAAGCTGCGCTCTTTGTATTGGTCCGTGTGCTCCTTTGATCGCACCGACACCCGTGTAAAGATAAGTTGTAGAAGTGTGTATACATTCGCGGAATACTATGCCCATGTATGCGTGCTTAACTGCGAAATGTCCAGGTTGTTTACCAGAATAACGTGGAACACAACCGACTTCAAGACAAGGGGAGGACGTATTCTATTCATTCGTGTCATGTGGCTCCGGGTAATTTTCATTTTGCGTTACCAGCTGTGAACATCAAAGCACGTCCCTTCAATCCAAAGCATTTCATCTCGTGAGGCAGCTTAAACCCCTGACCGAAGTCCATGCGTATCTGTGAAATCATGTTAGTAGTCACAGCTGTAGACTACGTGCTGCAGTGAACTTAGGCACGTATATGCTAGTCATTCGCTTTAAATATCCCCACTTGAGGTCAGCGCTGCTTCACTAGTTTTCTCACACCTTTCAGCCTGTGTGGCATGCTCGTCATCTGCTCAACTGCGTAAATAGAAGCTTACTCGTGATCTCCTAGGTTAGTGGTGTGTGCGTGTGCAGAGCTTTGTAACAAGCGGCGCATCCGCCATGGTCGTGTCGAGCGCATGCTTATTTCACGCGTAAATATATGCGATATGCCGGCGCTGTGTTATCAAGTGAACTCAGACATCGTGGGACCGTTCAACACGCGTGGCGTTTGTTTATTTGGTCGCAGCTCTTTTCGGCCACGGTCGACACTTTCAGAGCAAAAATTGTCGCAGGCCTTGGTATACGAGGTGGTGAGATCGCACTGCACGAATACGGAGTGTTATCACGGCCGCCAGGTCCCACACAGAACACGAGCCGCGTGCGCTCGGGCGTGGTCCCCAAGTGGGACAGCCACAGGGCCGACTCATAGCTGGTGATCAGTACTGGCATGCGCCGCTCCCAACCGCCACCGCGTCGACAGTCAAGCGTGTACGAGCGCCAGCCGCCATCACTTTCGTGACAGGCCAGGCACCCCCTCTGCCTTCGTTGTACATCTGGTGAGCGACGGCTGTCGTTCAGAGGCCGTTCAGTGAAGGCTGTCGTTCAAAGGCCTCTCTACATGCGCTGGGTACGCTGTTCTCGCAGCTGGCGGCCCCACCCGCGTCGGTTGGAGTCCAGGCGCATGGCCGTCCGTTTTGCAATGTCCGTTCTTGTAAGCAGCCATATAGGAGCAAAGTGACCATTGTAGTCGGCGTGTCCTAACACACCAATTAACAGCAAGAGAACACCCAGAGACACCTCCCAGCCTTCTGGTTACTACCGGCGAGGCCAACTCTTGGTTCGTTGTCTCTTCTCGCTGCACCCCCACTGACCGTTACACGAGTGCCTGAGTATCATTGTATTCTCTTCGCCACTTCCCTATCGCAGTGGACTCGTCACTGAGAACGGGTTCTGGGCATTGTCTTCCGACACATTCAATACGTAAGGTGCACAGGCACGATCACATGTGATAACGCGGTATACCCCGGGAACTCCCCACACACCAGCCACAGCACAATGTACCGAGCGTGCACCACTTCCAGCACGCCTCCGCCCTCTCCCCTCCGGCGACGATACGAATTTGTGTCTCAGCACCCTGTACAAGCCGTCCCCTAAGTGCTACTCGAAGAGGTTTGTGAGCACTTCCAGACGCCGCGAAGCGCCGAGCGGCTGTGTTTGGCAAGGCGGCGAGATCTTGGCCCGTGGCGACAGGCCACCGGCGGCGACCTGCCCGGGCGGGTCGTGACGCACCTCCGCGCCGGCCGCCGGGCAGACGCTGCGCGTGCGCGCCCGCCGTGCTATCCGCGGCGAGACGCGGCCCGCTCGTAAGCGCGCTATCGGCACGCACCACATGTGTCTTCCGTGACGTGATGTCATATCACCGCCGTCATCATTATCACTCGCTATCACACGGCCAGCCAGTACACTCGTCCCCGTTACAGGGTCTCCTAGAAGCTACGAGACAATCCCCGACTTGGCATGACAACGCACTCCAACATACGATAGCATTCATGTCCGTCTTTTCTCACCCCGAGCTGACCCGGGAGGGTGACCAACCTCACACCCGTCTCCCAGCCGATGGTGATAACGGACGTGACCCCCCGAGCTTCGCTGACCAGCGGCGGCGCCGGCCGACGGCTCACTCCTGGAACGCCTGCTGGAAGCCGGTAAGACAGCGGCAGCCGCAGCCGGTGGGGCAGAGCTGCTGGTCGCGGAACCACTGCAGCATGTGCTGCAGGTGGCCGCCGTGGCCGCACAGCAGGCAGAACGACGACATGCCTGTCGCAGGGCGCCGGCAGCTGGTCAGACGCCAGAGCGCAGGCCGGCCGGCTGGTCGCAGGGCACGCCGCAGCACGGCACACACACGCGCGCTCACGTGCAGACGCCACAGTCAGGTGTAGCTGGGGGGGGGGGGGGTGATACGACAAAACACACCGGCACAGAAAGGCACCGGATGTATCCCAAGAGCCGAGGAGAATGTCAGCAGTGCTTCAACGATTCAGCCAACGACGCGAAATTCACGAGCCCTCTGACGGCCACATGTCATACTCCACTTCACGCATCACACTTCCATCACGGACCGGCCAGCTGGCGACGTGGCTGCTCACCTCGGACGGAGACGTGGCAGATGATGCACGTGACGGCGCAGCGCCGGCACAGCTGACACTCGGAGCCGGCGAAGCAGCGGCCGCAGCGGGCGCACTCGGTGCGCACCTCCAGGCCCGAGTGCGCCACCGGCACCGTGCTCACGTACTTCAGCACCTGGCGCCGGGCGGCGGTCCGGCGTCACACGCGTGCGACGGGCGGGCGGCGCCAACAGTCCGCGCTCTAACGCGCCAACGGACTCTAACGCGTACGCGCCGTGCGACTGCGTGCGTGACCAGTGTAGGGGCCCAGGTCCAGCCAATGTCAATACACTTGAGTTCCAGATATATGTATGAAAGCGAATGGCGTATGCGGAACCTAAGCAAACACCGCGATAGCTGCCGGAATATTAAAATTACTAAAAAATTATGAGTCGTAAAAAGCCAAATGACAAAAACAGATTCGTCCCCCAGCTAGGGATGCCGGTGCCCTAAGCAGCGCTCAGCTGTGAAGAGCACCCACTCAGGACCCTGGAGATCCAGCTGATCCCCAGCAACTGAAACAGAGCAGCACGGCTGCGGCACCGCGTCGACGGCGACGCTCACCTGGGCCCTGTGGATGTGCAGCTGCCATTTGTACAGAATGTCGGCGTAGATCTTCTTATAGCGGTCGAACTCGCACTGACGGGCCGGGTCCAGCATCCTGCCGGCGCGGTCCGGCATGTCACAGGCGGCTGTCTCCCTCCCCCTCCCCCGCCCCCCTCCCTCCCCCCCTCTGGTATGCACGCCCCCGGGAGGGATAGCGGTGGTGGCAGGGTCAATACGCTCCCGAGCGGGGGGATTCGACCGCCGGAGGTTTTTTACAGAATAATTTCTGAACGGGGCAGTGTTTGCGGGTGCCAAACTTTGCCTGATTATAGGCAATTGAATAGCGTATCTTTCAGTACATAAAATAATCAGGTCGTGGCTCTCTGCGAAGGCCATTTGGAGGGAAACTATTCAATCTGATGCGAACAACGGGGCGTTAGACGAAGCTATGCATATTAACGATAGTTTTTATCAATAAAACGGTTTGAAATGTCTTACAGCAACTCCCACCGACCTAATGTCAGGTATGAAGATCATACAGAGGTCAAAACCAACCTGAATTGTTACTCAAGACCTTGCACTATGAGGTAGTTTCTGATACTCATTTCGAAGTTGTTAGTAACAGGAACCAAAAGATACATCTTCCACAAGCTTTTTGAAGGCCAGTGAGGGTGAGTGATCTGTAATGACCCCAGTTCAAAAATTTGCTCGGCAAGAACACACCGCCCAGCGTAATCTTTAGACGCTTTATTCAACCGCAAACATCCATATCGTGTAGGATTTTGGTTGCCACGACCCTGTAAAAGGCAAGCAGAGATATTTTACTTCAGAACGGGTATCTAGGCCCAAGGCAGTCACATCAGGAGATCGGGATGCACTTCGGACACCATTCTGGAGTCTTGACCTCATTTGACCTTATATGACCAGTTCATACCTAGGAACCTCAAATTTGGAACACACACAGATCAGTGAGTTCACATACAAGCCTAACCATCACGCGAATTTCGTGTCTCTAGCTTTTCTTAGCTTTTTGGGATGTCAGGGGGTCAAAATGACCGCCCACCCGAGCGAAGGGCATTCAACCGGCCACCCGGGCGCGTGTTAAGCTGCGCGTTTGGGAGAACAGAAATACCGGGTTAGATTCCTCGCGGTACTCGCCCCCCTGCCAGGGTGAGAGGCATGCATCGCCATACAGCCTCAGCAGCTGAGAGTCTCGTAAAGCCCCAACGGCGCCGGCGAGCGTCGTCGTCCGCTGCGGCGGCGGGGCCGCGCCGAGACGCGACGGAGGCGGTGACCGGTAGCGACACCGGTAGCGACACCGGTAGCGACACCGCTCAGCCGTCGGTGCCGTGCAACAGGCGGACTCGAAACGCCCGGAGTCCAGTGACACCAGTGACAGTGTCATCAGTGACACAGCGACACCAGTGGCGCAGTGACACCAGTGACACAGCGACGGCTACAGCGCAGTAGGACGGACAGGGATATATTTCTGGACAGAAAACATACATTTTACAAGTCTAGGTACTCCAGGATGGTAATAACTCCGTCACTGGGTGCGTTACCGGGACTTAAAGCCCGGGCCATTCCATCTGTGTTGCTTTTTTGGCGGAGGAGGGGGGGGGGAGGGCACAGAAAAATCGTCGCCTCCATCACGGGGTCATGCCAAGATCCCGCCCCTCTCTCCACTGGTGGCATTTCATCCCGTCTTAGGACTCTCACAGGCTGTGCTGGTCCGACGGGGCCCAAGATTCCAAGATCGACTTGAGCGAAGTAGCCGCCGTTCAGCAGTAATCCCGCGTGACCCCGCCGACTTGGGCGGACAGGACCAGAAGCCACCCGCAGCTGTTCGCGTGCGAGCGAGAAGAGCGGTACCAACCGGCCGATGTTCTCGCACGGGCAAGGAGGACCCACCACAGCGTCTGTTCTCGTCCTGTAAGCGGGAAGCGCTACCCACCACCGGCTGTTCTCATGCGCGAGGGGACAAGCGCCACCTGTCTGCAGTTGTTTCTCCTTCGGGTGGGAAGGATCGCCACCCACCTGCAATTGTTCTAGTATGGGGAGTACCGCGCACCACCTGCAGTTGTTCTCGTGCCGGGGAGTACCGTCACCACCTGCAGTTGTCTCGCTGCGGGGGAGTACCGTCCACCCACCTGCGGTTGTTCTCATGCGGGGAGTACCGCCACCCACCTGCATTTGTTCTCGTGCTGGACGCGCTCCTCAGGGCGGCCGGATCGGGCGTCGCCAGCCGACTCTCGTCCAGCACGTCCGACCAGGAGTTGCTGCGGTCTCTGGCGCGACACGGCCACGCCCAGGCCCTCGAGCGTCGGGTGACGGCGCGTGTCGGTCGGGTGCACGGTGTGGTACGGCGACTCGCCCGGCTGCCGGCGGCTGGCGCGGGTCAACCCGGCCGCACGGCACGGCACGAACACGACACGACCACGGCACGGCACGTTGCGGCCCAGCACGGTACGGCACGGTGCGCCCAGCATGGTACGGCACGGCATGGCGCGCACACGACCACAGCACGGCACGGCACCGGACGGGGCGAACACGGAGCCGACACGGCATAAGGACGACGGTAGAAGGACGCACAACGCGAGGTTCCAGGGCTGAAATGTGAATGTGGCGCTCTGCGCTATGGTGTGTGATGTACGTATCTCCAATGAGGTAAGGTCTTTCTTGTCCAGCTAAAATATTTCACAGTAGTCAGCTACCTCTACGTAGATTCTACCCCTTCATGGTGTCAGGTTCCTACGAGACAGGAGCACGAGACTGGTACTGGGATGGACAGATACTGCCAAGAGCTTATCGAGCTACGTGCTCAGCACGACCCAGACGTCTGGAGTCAGACGCAAGCCACGGATACACCAACAGCGCACCAGAAAAATTGGAGACCGACTGAGCACACAAAGCGAAAGCTTCGTAGTTGAACGATGCTGAACAGTACGTCATGTTTTTCGCTTCGACTGGAAAAGCTGTACGATTGCATACACACGCCAAGCATATAAAAACCTTCATGGTGTTCATCTCACCCAGCGATAACTTAAGCACGGTGCTGATGTGAGTTTGTTAACATTCCCCACGCCAGTTAGTTCCAGTTCGGCACCGGCCGCCGGCGACCACACACTCCACTAAACGCTCGACACTCAGTGGGTCCAGTCTGATAGTGGCATGATGCAAAACCAAACAAACTCGCGCAAACGCAAACGGCTCAAGGCTAGCGCATCCAATCCTGGCGAACGAAACCGAACGGCCCGACGCCTGCTCGGGCTGCGAGTCTGCGCGTGTCAGCCGGGCCCACCCAGCGTGACCTCACGACAGGGCGTTTCTCGGTCCGGACAGGGCCGCGGCCGGGCTGGCAGGCATGTACGTACGAGTAGGTCGGGACAACGCTCTACCGTCTACAACACTCATCTAGGGCGGCGGCCATGCAGTTATTCCCGGGAGGGCTGGGGAGGTCGGTATGTACAACCGGGTTCGAGGCACGGCGTTACCTTTTTCAACAGACCCAGCTGAAACACAGGAGACTGGTTACCGAGCTGGCCGCCTGGGCAGCCGCGGCGGCACCAGCCCCGCGCCGCCGCCGCGCGCTGACACGGCGTCGCTAACACTCGCTGCCTAAGGACGGCTCTCGTTCAAGAGTGCAATAGAGGCCACACCAGAGGCAGCCACTGCAAGGGTACTCTCTCTGTGCTGGGACTGCCGTTGAGCCAAGACCAAACGCCTTCACGTGTGAGTGCCCGGTGCAATCACGTGAAACGGCAATGCCTCGGTCCAAGACAATCGATGCAAGTATGGCTGGCGTTACATGACTGTCAGATAAAAAAGACACTGGAACGATGCAGCCGACATGGACCAATGACGGGGCTCATATCACTTGCGCGAATGACGTTTAGAAGATGACAACGTAATACTTTGCTCGACCAAGAAGTGAGCACGGAATCATAGCCAGTCCACATTCTGGGCACGACACCACCCGAATCACCGGCTTATAAACAAACATAGTGTTCTACGCTCATGACATAGTTTGTCAATCACCAACAGCGGTCAGAGCAGCTAGCAGGCACATCCCGGCCGCCAGCTGCGCGGCTAGAGCGGCCGGTCTGGCCGGCAAGCAGCGGGCCAACTACCACGGTCGGGTGCGAACAAAACAGAAGCAATCCAAGCAATCCGCCACCCCCTTCCGCTGTATTAGCGCGTGGAAGGTGGTTTCAAAGCCAGTTTTCTCTAAACACTGTGTAGAAGAGCGTCAACTGAGTGTCTCCTTTCAACGCGCAGACTGCTATCCTAGGTCGCGGTGAACAATTGGAAATGCGATATGAGCACACCTTCAACTGATACTTTTCGTAGGGAGGTGCCAGAACGTTTGAAACGTGCCTTCCAATTTTCCATGGCGGGACCACTGTCCACAGTACCGATTCAAGACTATGTTCAACACAATGCAATGTCCCGCGCTCAGACAGCGAGATGGCAACACATGACAGCGCTGTTTGACATGACACGTGCTTCATCTACCACTCAGTGCTACCAACCCCGGCCACCAGCAACGACACACTTCCCGAAAGCAATCGCGCGATAGGCTCCAACACATTTCCCTCGAATAATGCAGCTCTAAAATGCCAACGAATGCAAATTGTATGATTGCGAACCAACCGCGCCTGTGAGAACATCAACTCAGGCCCCGCACTGTTGCAGTAGCAATCGAGTAGAAAGCGTCAGCTCCGTTCGGAGGAGTTTTGTTGACGCTACAAAACATTTAGAGGCCGGACCAATACAAATATAAAACTGCAAGCAACTCGAACGCATCGTCCAATAGGAACGTTTAGAAACACTATTTGATCGGTAGACTATCGTGCATACAAGAGACTAAGTTCTAATCAGCACCAAAAAATATAGGGAAGCGAAGTGAAACGAAAGAAAAAACAAAACCAAGGTGCATCTCAGCGTCTTTGATCAGCATCTAGGGCCACGCAGTACTGCCTTCGGTATGTTGCCATTTGGAGCTTATATCCAAGTAATCCATTACGGCCTCATCCCTTGTTGGCCGAGATGAGAGCTCGCAAGAGCCGGCAGGGCCCATCCGACTACATTTGAAACCCTTGTCGCCATTGCGACAGACTGCACACTCCAACTGAGACCCCAAACTCGAGCCGCCGCAGGGCAGTCCGTTGGATCAACACCTAGTCTACTACGCAAAGACGACCGCCTGTCGCTACCGACCTACGGACGACGCGGCAGGTCCCGCCCTAATGAGCACCACGCGACGGCCCGACGGCCGGAGCAAGAGGGGCCGCTGCGGCCGCGACGAGCCAGCGTCAGCGGGGGGAGCAGATCGGGCAGGGCGGACGCGGCGCGGGGGCGGGGGCAGGCTGCATGCCGGGGCCGCCGGGGGCCAGCGTGCGGACGGACGGGACGGGACCAGACGCCACACAGGCAGCCAGCACAGTCGGCGGACGCCGCGCGCCTACCTTCATCCACCACTTGTTGGGAACGGGCAGCTGGGGAAGAGACCACGCGGTTGATCGGGACCCACCGGTCCAACACAGCGGTCGGTTTTGACAAGGCGAAAGTAGGCGAGCGGCACCGAAGACCGGTGCCAAACACGATCAGCACGGCCAGCACTTAGGCCTGCACCATCCGCGCTACAGAACATCAGCTCCTCCGACGCTTATCGGGAACTTTTGAGTGGGCTGTGATGGTGACTCCCAGGCTCTGGCCTACCTTTCTTTCGACCCGAAGGTCAAAGAAATTCACCCTAACCTCATGATCTCCTCGCCACACAACAATCTCCTCCTCCCCGCCAGCGGACTTAAGTGACATCCGGTCGAATTTCTCTATCAGCGCACCACTGGATGTCTCGTGAACGTCAAGGTTGATACACCAATGACAATGGCGGTTACAACTTCGGTTAACACTCAACGCATCAACGCAATAAACACACACACACACGCACGCACGCACGCACGCACGCACGCACGCACGCACGCAGCATATATATATAATTATATATATATATATATATATATATATATAATATATATATATATATAATATACATATATATATATATATATATATATATATAACGCATATATACGCATGCACGCACGCACGCACGTATGTATAGATCATATCATACATATATATATATTATATATAATATATATATATATATATATATATATATATATAATGCGCACGCACGCGATATAGATATATAGATATAGATATATCTATCTATCTATCTATCTATCTATCTATCTATCTATCTATCGATCGATCTATCGATATCTATCTATCTATCTATCTATATATCTATCTATCTATCTATCTATCTATCTATATATATATATATATCTATCTATTATATATAATATATATATTATAATATATATATATATATACACAATTACACCCGGACCACCAGCCTCTTGAACGCACTACATCCGAACACAGCTGTACAACAGTGACATAGCAATACTGTTACTTTACGGCCGTGTCCGAAGCCCCCTGCACGACAATATACACAGTGGCGGGCCCACCCGCGCAGCAGAACCGGACAGCAATGCCTTGAGTGGTCCCCGGCCGCCGGGCAGCCGCGGCGTCGCGCGCTGCCCGCCCCGCCACTCACGCTGCTGTTCTCCAGTTGGGAGGCGGCCTGGTGCAGGCTGGAGACCGGCTGTTCCGTCTTGGTGCCCAGCACGCAACAGATCATGGCCACCGTCTGTACGTCACGCGCGCGCAGATAGTGCGCGATCCTGCCGGCGGACGCGGCGGCCGACTGTCAGACGCGGTGGCCGACTGTCAGGCGCGGTGGCCGACTGTCAGGCGCGGTGACCGACTGTCAGGCGCAGTGGGCGACTATCAGGCGCGGTGGGCGACTGTCAGGTGAGGTGGCCGACTGTCAGGTGAGGTGGCCGACTGTCAGGCGCGGTGACCGACTGTCAGGCGCAAAGGGCGACTATCAGGCGCGGTAGGCGACTGTCAGGTGAGGTGGCCGACTGTCAGGTGGTGAGGTGGCCGACTGTCAGGCGCGGTGACCGACTGTCAGGCGCTGAGCGACTGTCAGGTGAGGTGACCGACTGT